TCCTCCGCTCTTTCTCCAGATTCCCGATGTGATCCACCGACAAGGGAGGACGCCAATGGAAGGTGTCTGATAAGATAAGTCTTCTAAAATATATAGATTTATGATAATTAAGACTGAGCTAACAGATGAGAAATCCTAGTCACTGGCCAAGCAGCATTGCAACTAATATAAGTTTCTGTATTATTTTGTCCATCCACATGGTGGGCAGAACTCAGGCGGCTGGCCGAGACCTCCCACATGGCAGTAGGGCTCGAGCGGCTTTTGGTGGAAAAATTTATTGTAACAAGTAATTAATTATTACGAGGCATATTCCCAGGATAAGTCACTTTCTGTTTCTGCTAAACTAATTACACCAATATGGATTGGTTGCTTTTGTTCCCCTAAAGCTTGTATGTTGAAATCCTAACCCCAGTGTAATGGTGTTTGTTTGGAGGAAGAACTATATTATTTACTTCATTGTTGGTATGAGACAATACCTGATAAAAACAGCTTAAGGAAGGGTTTATTTTGGCTATCAGTTTGAGTGGCTCACAGTTTGAGGCCCAGCCCATGATGCAATAGAAGTCATGATGGTAGTACCACGAGGCAACTGGGGACACTGTATCGCTAGAGAGACAAGAGTTGGTGCTTTCTCCTTTTTATTTCAACCAGGACCTCGGTTTACAGGACCACCGACATGCAGGGCACGTCTTCCCACCTCAATGAATGAAGTCTAGAACACACACAGACACTCATGGAGCTTTGTGGCTCCTAGGAGATTTTGGGTCCCATCAAGTTGTCAATGTCAACCATCACAGGAATCTTCAGTAGGTGAAGTGATTGGGAAAAGAATTGCTAGCTGTATAAAAGGGACTCCAGTGCTCTGTCACTCTAATTCTACCATGTGAAAATACAATTGAAAGTTGGCAGTCTGTAAACAGAAAGATAGCTTCACAAAATCCTATCCATGAAGGCTCCCTGACTGTAGGCCTCCTGCCTCCAGTACTGTGAGAGATCAGTTTATGTAGTTTGTAAGTGTCTCTGACAGTGTGTTACAGTAGTCCCAAACCATCTAAGATGGTGGCTTAAGGGAATGAATGTTGTCAAGGCATAGTTCTATAGGCCAGAAGCCCAAACAAGGTCCAATTATATTCCCTCCTAGTGACCTCATAGAGTTGGAATCAAGGTGTCAGTTAGGGCTGTGGTCCCGTATGAGTATCAGAGGGCTTTAGAAGGCCATGGGATTTTTGAAAGGACTCATTTGTTTGCACTCTAGACCTGGAGGCAGTGTCTTCTTCACATCCCTCTGACTTCCCTGTCCCCATCAGCTACTTGTCCTTATCAGTTAGCATCCTTGCACCATGTACAAGACCCTCTCATAGACAGACACAGTCCCCCAATGAAGTAGAAATGGATAAGAGCCCCTGAACAAATGGGGAGCATGGGGGGGGAGGGAGTTAGGAGAAAGAGGAGGGGAGAGGGGGGAGAACATGAGGAATCAGGAAGATTGAGTGGGGAGAGGAATAGAGGAGAGCAAGAAAGGAGATACATCAATAGAGTAGACACTATAGGTTTAAAGAGTAATCAGGCACTAGGGAATTGTACAGAGTTCCACAAGGATGACCCTAACTAGGAACCTAAGCAATAGTGGAGAGGCTACCTTAAATGCCGGTCCCCTATGATGAGAATGATGACTACCTTAAATGTCATCATAGATCCTTTATCCAGTAGCTAATGGAAGCAGAAGCAGAGATCCACAGTCAAACACTGAACCAAACTTCTGGAATCCAGTTGTAGAGAGGGAGAAGTGATGAGCAAAGAGGTCAAGACCAGGTTGGGAAAACCCACAGAAGCAGCTGACCTGAGCAAGTGGGAACTCAAGGACCCCAGTCTGACAGCTGGGGAACCAACATAGGACCAAACCAGGCCCCCTGAACATGGGTGTCAGCTAGGAGGACTGGGCAGTCTATGAGACCACTGACAGTGGAACCAGGATGTATCCCTAGTGCACAAATGGACTTCGGGAGTCCATTTCCCATGGAAGGATACTCTCTTATCCTGGACACACAGGGGAGGGCCTAGGCCCTGCCCCAAATGACTTAACAGATTTTATAATCCCTCATGGAAGGCCTCACCATCCCTGGGGAGTGGATGAGGGATGGGATGGGGGGACATGGGAGGATGGGAGGGAGAGGGAGCTTGGATTGATAAGTAAAATGAGATTGTTTCTAATCTAAATAAAATCTATAAAAAAGAAATTAATAGTGAAAAAAAAAGGATCCTTTCATGAGTAATTCAATTGATATGAGACTTTAATTTCACTTCCCCATAGACAGCTAATGGAATATAATTATTAAAAGAATAGCCTCTTATCAAGGTCAGGGAATTATAAGAAAGCATAAGTCAATTAGGACTGTTTAGGAACTTTTCCAGCCACTCCTGGCATAGTGGCACACACCTTTAACACCAGTACTCAAATTATGTTGTAAAGGATTCACCTTGTGTGACACTTGGGATGCAGAGGTTGGTGGTTAAATTGAGTATCTGGCTGGCCAGGACTACACAGTGAAAGTGTTTCAGACGAGACATGTAAAAAAATAGATAAATATGTCTCATATTTTAGGTGCATAATGAAAAATACAACTGGATAGAAACAAACGTATAATGACAGATGGAAGAATCAGTAATGGCAACATTAAAACCATCATTTTTGCTGCATGAGTGTAAGAAACTAGAGGATAGTTATGCAGGTTTGGTAGTGACCAGGAGACCACAAGTGACTAAAAGACACAAATGTGTGAGATAAAAAAGTGTACTAGATTGGATTAAAAGCAGATTAGCTTTTAATCTTGAAGATTCACTTATCTAGATTATCCAAATAAAACAAAGAGCGATAAAATAATAAGCTGCACTAGGCATTCTAGGAGGATGGAAAACCAAATTTGGAATTCCAAATTAGCTAGCTACTCAGAATATAAAGAGTACTTTGCGGGGTTCTCTTGCAGGTAGAGCTGGGGAAGGGCCTGTCCAGCAGGTCTCTTCCTGGTGCTGAGCAGGATGGTGAGTGTCAGACGACTCAGACCCTCCCCCCTTCTGGTTACAGGGAAAGAATACACACTGAGTCTGGAGGTCTCGATTTATTCCATCAGGCAGGAACTTATATAGGGCTGAGGTAGGGGATGGGAATCTTAGGATGGGGTAAGGTGACCTGAAGAGTCAGGGCCAATAATATTCCACCAAGCTGGCAGGTAAGCTAGGCTGGGGGCAGTCTTACATCAGGCCTTGCTGAGTCATCCCCATGTGGCGGTTACAGTCCAGAAACAGGTCGCCAAACTCTAGCCAGGCTCAGGAGGTTACACTGGGCCTCACATCTGAGCCTTAAATTCAAGTCAGACTCAGGTTACACTGGGGCCTGGTATCCAAGCCTTTTTAGGCCCAACAGTACTTAAGGAAATAAGGCTATGCATTCTCAAATTTTGATGAAAACTAAAATAAACCCATAGATATAAGAGACTCCATGGTCATCAGTCATAGAATATGAAGGAACTTGAATCAAGGAACTTCAAAACTCAAACTGTTGAATCCAGTGATGAGGAGGAAAATTGAAAACCACCCAATTTAAAAGTTTACAGAACAGGATAAAAAAGACAGCAGATTTCTTTTTCTTTTTTTAATATGCCCCCCTCCCCTTCCCCTGCCCCCCCCAACTTCTCCCCAACCCACTCCTCAGAAAAGGTAAGACCTCCCATGGGCATCAATAAAGCCTGGCACATTAAGTTGAGGCAGGATCAAGCTGCTTCCTGCTGCATCAAGGCTGAGCAAGGCATCCCACCACTGGGAATGGTTGTCAAACCCAGGCTATAAAACTGTTGCTCACGTGCAGAGGGCCTGGTTTGGTCCCATGCAGGCTCCCCAGCTCTCCAACTAGAGTCCAATTAGCTCCTACAAATTCAAGTCAACTGTCTCTCTGAGTTTCCCTATCATGATCTTGACCCCTCTTGTTCATATAATCCCCCTCCCTTTCTTTGACTGGACTCCTGTAGCTTGGCCTGGTACTTGTCTGTGGATCTCTGCATCTGCTTCCATTAGTTACTGGAAGAAGGTTCTATGATGACAATAGGGTTGTCACCAACCTGATTACAGGGAAAGGTCAGTTTAGGCACCCTTGCCACTATTGCTAGAGATCTTAGCTGTGGTCATCCTTTTGGATTCTTGGGAATAAGGTTTCTCCTGAACCCTGTAATGGCTCTTTCTACCAAGATATCTCTTTCCTTGCTCTCCTACCCCATCCCTCCCACCCCTCCACCATCCAGTTCCTTCACACTCCCACCCCCATCCCCCCCTTCACTGCTCCCCATCCCCAGTTTACCCAGGAGATCTCATCTATTTGCCCTTCCCAGGGTGATCCATGTGTTCCTCTTAGGGTCCTTGTTACCTAGTTTCTCTGGAAGGTGTGGATTATGGTCTGGTTATCCTTTGCTTTACATCTAGTGTCCAGTCAGGCCTGAGTATATACCATGTTTGTCTTTCTGAGTCTGGGTTACCTCATGCAGAATAATTTTTTTTTCTATTTCCATCCATTTGCCTTCAAATTTCAAGATGTGATTAATTTTTTTACAGCTGATTTTTACAGTCCATTGTATAAATGTACACACATTCTCTATCCATTCTTCAGTTGAGGGGCATCTAGGTTCTGGCTATTACAAATAATGCTACTACGAACATACTTGAACAGATGTCCTTGTGATGTGATTGAGCATCCTTTGGGTTTATGCTCAAAGGTGGTATTGCTGGGTCTTGAGGTACATTGATTCCCAATTTTCTGAGAACAGCCATACTGATTTCCAAAGTGGAGCAGTGGATTTATTATGGAGATAATGCAAAAGAGAAGATGGGAAGGACATATCTTTAAAGAATCGAAAGAAAAATACCTCAGTAAGTTAAATTTCTATATTAGCAAAGTATGTTAGAAAATACAAAGTAAAGTGTTTTTTTTTTTTTTTTTTTCTGATACACAATAGCTGTAAAACATGCACTGTGAGCAGAGCCTCATGAAGTGACCCAGTCAACTCTGGACTGACAGCTGGAGATCCCGCATAGGACTGAACAAGGCCCCTGAATGCAGGTGACAGTGGGTGACTTGGGCAGTTTGTGGGGCACTGGCAGTGGGACCAAGATCTATCCCTAGTGCATAAACTGGCTTTTTGGAGCCCATTTCCTATGGAGAGATAGCTTGCGCTGCCTAGACACGGGGGTGTGGGTGTGGGGGGAGCTTGGTCCTGCCTCAACCTAGTGATAGGACAGACTTCATTGATTTCTGTGGGAGGCCTTACCCTCTCTGAGGAACAAAAGGGGGTGGAGTAAGGGGAAGAGGGGGGAGCAGGGGGAGGGGAGAGAGAGGAAATGGGATTAGTACGTAAAAACAAGACCTTCCCCCCAAAGCCCTCATAGGTTTCAAATGATCAACATGTTACTAAGACTATACTATAAATTAACAGAATTCTCTCTGGGGAACCCCCAAACATTAGAAAACTAATAAATGATACAAAAGCCATGTCACAAAGGGAAATTACAAAGTCATTTGAACTGAGTCAAAGTGAAAATATAACATACCAAGGTGTGTAGGAAGAAAGACCTAAAATAAGAGTTATGGGTAAAACTCACACCAGAAGGAGGAAAGCACCTGTGCGTCACGGTATTAGAGGACAGGAGAAACCCCAGCTGAAAGGGATCATGAGACAAAAAAACAAAAACAAAAACAAAAACAAAAACAAAAACAACCAACTTAACTGACAGTAGAACAGGAACAGAGAGCTGGTTGATGGCGGCTCACACCTTTAATCCCTGCACTCAGGAGGCAGGCAGATCTTTTCTTTGTGAGTTCAAGGCCAGCCTGGTCTACATGGTGAGTTCCAGGCCAGTCAGGGATGTTACACAGAGAAACCCTGTCTTGAAAAAAACAAACAAAGAGAGAGAGAGAGAGAAAAGAAATGGATACCCCAGTCAAATAAAATGTTAAACCTAAACACTCCAGGCAAAAAATATTCAGGAAATCTGGGACACTATGAAAATACCAAATCTAAAAACAAAGAAAGACTGTTAAAAACTGAAAGGAAAAGGACCAAATAACATATGAAGGCAGACCTATTAGAATTACATCTGACTTTTCAAAAACGATGCTAAAACTCAGAAGGGCCTGGACAGATTTGATGCAGACTCAAAGAGAACACAAGATGCCAGCCCAGATTATTATACCAGCAAAACTTTTACTCATGATAGAGAGAGAAAAATAAGGTATCTCATGATAAAATCAAATTTAAGCAATATCTATCTATAAACCTAGCCATATAGAAGGAGCTAGAGGGAAAAACCGAACCTAAAAAGTCTGACTACACCCAAGAAAACACAGGAAATAAATAATCTCAGACAAGCAAATCAAAAGAAGGAAATTGCATGCTCCGCCCCCAGCATCCACTACCAACAAAATAATAGCAATCAACAACACTGCTCATTGATCTCTCAATATCAAAGGTTTAAATTCCCTCAATAAACAGACATAGATTAACAGAATGGATACGAAAACAGGATCCATCCTTCTGCAATATCCAAGACACATCTTAATATTAAGAATAGACATCACCTCAGCATAAAAAAATAGAAAATGACATTCCAAGCAAATGGGCTGAAAATGTAAGCTAGTGTAGCCATTTTAATATCTGACACAATAGACTTCAAATCAAAACTAAGCAGAAGAGATAGGGAAGGGCATACTCATCAAAGGGAAAATCCACCAAGAGGACATTTCCATTCTTAACATCTATGCCCCAAACACAAGACACCCACATTTGCAAATGAAATGCTTCTACAGCTTAAAGCTGGTATTGATCCTCACAAATTGAAAGTAAGTGACTTTAATACCCCCTTCTCACCAAGAGATTGGGTCATCCAGACAAAACTATACAGAGCAATGCTGGAGCTACCAGATGTTGCAAACCAAATGGACCTAACATATATTTTCAGAACATTCCACCCAAACACAAAAGAATATACATAACTTCTCCCCACCTCATGGAACTTTTTTCGAAATGGGCCATGTACTTGGACACAAAGCAAGTCTCAATAAGGTATGAGCAAATTGAAGTAACACCCTAAATCATATCTGACCAACATGGATTAAAGGTGGGTCTCTGTGGTGATATATTATTTATGAATATATTATTTATGATTTAGTAAAGCTTGCTTGAAGTTTCAGAAAGGTAAACTCAGCCTCAAGCTATAGAGATCAGGCAATGGTGATATACACCTTTAATCCTAGCAGTCAGAATCTAGGAGGTGGTGGTGTACACCTTTAATCCTAGGACTCAGGATTAAAAGGTAGAAGGATCCCTGTGAGTCTATGGCCACTCAAGTCAACACAAGATTGATCCAGTCCTAAAGAGAAACAGCTCACACAAAGATGATCTCAGCACCTGGCATCACACACTTTTAATCCCATCACTAGAGGATGGGATCAGGGTCTTAAGTAGTCAGTATCAGGCATTCATTGTTTAGCCACATTGAGGATAGAAGACATTCAGTCTCAGGATTCTCCAGCCACGGTGAGGAGAGGCAGCAGAGTCAGCCCATTCAGCTATTTTGCTTTTCTGACCTTCAGCTTGAAGTCTGAACCCCAGTATCAGTCTCTGGTCTTTTATTTATCATGTTACAGATATCAACAACAACAGAAAGCTTATAAACTCAGGGAAACCAAAGAAGTCACTATTGAATGATAACAGTTCAAGACAGAAATAAAGAAATTAAAGACTTTCTAGAATTGAATGAAAATGAATACACAACATACCCAAATCTATGGATGTGAAGGAGGTTCTAACAGGTAAGTTCATAGCACTAAGTGCCTACATGAAAAGAATTTGAGAGATCTCTTATAGTAACTTAACAGCACACCTGAAAACCTTAGGACAGAAAGAAGAAATCACACCCAAAAGGAGTAGATGACAAGAAGTGATCAAACTCAGGACTGAAATCAATAAAACACAAACAAACAAACAAACAGATACAAAGAATTAATGAAACAAAGAATTGTTTCTTTGAGAAAACCAAGTAAGATTGACAAACCCTTTTCCAAATCAGAGAGAGAAGATCCACATTAACAAAATCAGAAATAAGAAGGGGACATAACAATACACCATTTCAATTCCCCACCTGAGAACTCTGAGGAAATCTTCAGAGCCAATGAGGACAAACCTTTATTTTCTTCTTTTTAAAAAATTGACCTTGGTTTGTCTTAGACAACTAAACTTCTGGGAAGAGGCCATACAGGGCTCCTCAATGTCATTATTAAGAATACTATTTTTTTTTGTTTTGTTTTCAGATTGAAGTGTTCCTTTCAGTATCCAATGCAGAAATGGGTTAGTGGTCACAAATCTCTTTAATCTGTTTTTACCATGGAAAGTTTTTATTTCTCCTTTAATTTCAACAGACACTTTTACTGGATATAACGGTCTGGGTTGACAATTGTGATCTACCAAAACCTGGAGTATATCTTTCCAGGCCCTTTGGGCTTTAAACATTTCTGTTGAAAATCAGGTGCTGTTCTGCCTTTATAATTGACTTGAACTTTCTTTTTCACAACTTGCAATTGTTAGCATTCAGGCATGCTGGCCTGCCCCTGAGGACCTGGTAGGATGCACTTGCCAGCACGCAAGGAACTCTAACCTGCTCAGGGTCCTGACAATGTCATCAGCCATGTGGCTACACAGCACATGTACTACAACCCCTCATAAAAGGCAGGCCTTACTCATCTCCTGGCTCTCTTCCTCTCTTCTGCAGCTCCTGTCTCCAGAGGCCAGCCTCCTCCTCTCTCTTCTCCCTTTCCCATTCTCCTCCCCCAATAAACTCTCAACATGAGCCCTGCCACACAGTGCCATGAGACTCTACAGGCTCTCCTGTGCTTCCTCCTGCCTGCTGGAAGTCTGAGGCACACTGGGACCCTGTAACCCAGTTTACCCGAGACAGCCTCACTTTTTCAACTAACAGATCACTGGGCCAACCACACAAGACCAACAGAATCAACAGAAACACTGACCCTCTAAGGTCAGTGTAAATGCTTCCCTGGATCCATGGGAGTGACCGTTAAGTGTCTGTCACCCCTCTGGTGTCCTTGGAAATGGAGGAACCATGGTCTTTAAGGCCACCGTTGACCCTCTTCACCCACTTTCCACAAGTAAGGCCTACTCTACTGAGTGTGATTTCTCACCTTAAGCCCCACCTGTAAGTCCTGGTACCAGGCAATCATGGCTCCCTCAGGCTCAGAGTCCTTGATCCCTGTTCTTTGCATGGGTAGGGAAGAGAAGAAGATCTGGAGAGACTTTGGAGAAGAGAAAAACATGATCAAAGTATGTTTGAATTTAAAGATTATTTTAAATGATAGAAATAGAGCAATAATAAAAAGGAAAATATTTTCTATGCCTTCACTATGGTGACTGTAGTCTCTGCTGCCTCTTCCTCCTCCTCCTCCTCCTGTCCTGTGCCTTCATTGATGCCCATAATTCAATCATTAGGTCTTTTCATAGTTTCCAAAAAATCTCCAGTGTTCTGCTCATGTGTTTTTAAATTTTCTTTTTGGCCTTTAATGAGTGATCAAGTTCCTTTATCTTTTCAGCCCTGACTTTCCCCCACATAATCCACTCTGTTGGTGACACTACCTGGCTTATTGGGTTCTACATTTCCAGGATCATTTCAGTTTGGCTTTTCTTCAGCAGTTCTATCACTTTATTAAATTCAATTTTCATATCTTAGATTGACTTGCTTATTTCATTGAGCTCTTTGTTTTTGTTTTCATTGAGTTGTTTGAACATGGTTATAATCATTCTTTTTAAATTCACTGTCTGGAAGATCTTTCAGGTCATCTTATTGGAGTTAATAGTATGTGGTATAGTCAATGTTCTATTTCTGTAAAGAGACACCATGACACAGAAACTCTTATAAAGGAAAAGGTTTAATTGCTTACAGTTTCAGAGTTTTAGTCCATATCAACATGGTGAGAAGCATGGTGCCACCCTAGGTCCCTGGGCTATCTAGTCTCAGGTTCTTGGTTGCCCAAGCAACCACAGGTATGGGTTCCATCTCATGGAGTGGGCCTTAAGTCAAACCAGATACTGGTTGGTTACTCCCACAAACGTTATGCCACCATTGCCCTAGCAGGCAGGACAACATTGTAGATCAGAGGGTTTATGATGTTTCTCTTTTGGTAGTGTGCAGAATACCATTCTTACCAAATACACTAGCTAGAATGTAGGGATGATAGTTCTATGTAGGGAGCAACTAGACTTCCCCATGTTCAATGAGTTGTATATGTGTTGTCTTCACTGATGAGGCCTTGCTGTCAGGTTTTAGAGATTACATATAATTGAGTTGTTGGCCAAAATGGTCCCATGGAAATCACCTAACAATCCAGGGTATATATATATATATATATATATATATATATATCAACCCTGGATTGTTAGGTGATTTCCATGGGACCATTTTGGCCAACAACTCAATTATATGTAACTCAATCCTGGTACTGGAAGCTTCATTTGGTGACAAAAGATGTCCAACTGGGGCTCTGTCTTCATTATTTGGCAATTTCAGTTAGATCACCTTCATATATGCATACATTTTAGGAAACTTCTATTGTACTTCTAATTCCATACTACCCCTCAAAAGGCCCTTAATTTTAGTTGTCTCTTTTGTATCCCCTCCCTCATCTCTCTCCCTTTCCCCACTTGATCCTCCCATTACAACCCCTGCCCCATCCATCCATAACTATTGATTCTATTTCCATTTCCTAATGAGATCTGCCTGTACTCCCCAGTACCTTACCCTACCTAACCTCCATGATTATATTATGATAGCTTGATTGTCATTTACTTAACAGCCAATATCCACATGTAAGTGAATGTATGCCATATTTGTCTTTACTGGTTTGAGACACCTCACTCAGGATGATTTTCTTTTTAGTTCCATCCATTTACCTGTGAATTTCATAACTTAAATGTTTTAACAGTGGAGTAATACTCCACTGTGTAAATGTACCACATTTTCTTTATCTAGTCCTCTGTTGAGAGACATCTAGGTTGCTTCCAAATACTGCCTATTATGAATAAAGTAGCAATGAACATGGTTGAGCAAATGTTTTTGTGGTAGGATGAAGTATCTTTTGAGTATCTGCTCAAGAGTGGTATAGCAGCATCTTGAGGAACATGGGTTACCAGCTTCCTGAGGAACTACCACACTGACTTCCATAGTGGCTGTAAAAATTTGCAATACCACTGGTAATGGAGGAGTGTTCTTCATATTCTACATCTTCACGAGCATGAGATGGTTTTATTCTTCATTGATCTTAGCCATTCTGACAGGTGTAAGATGAAATTTCAAAGTAATTTGGATTTGCATTTCTATGATAGCTAAGGATGTTGAACATTTCTTTTAAGTGTTTCTCAGACATTTGCATTTCTTCTTTTGAGAATTCTCTTGTTTAGCTCTGTACCCCCCTTTTTTGTAAATGGGATTATTTGTTTCTTTATATGTAGTTTTTTTTTTTGATGCAAACAGCTCGAGGCTTTATTGTTTAATGAGCTAACCCATGTTAGCTCAGGTCTTTCATCTTCCCACCATGGTGGATGGCTAGAAAAGACAGCTCGAAGCAGCTGCATAGAGATCTTATAGGGCAGCTTAAGGGGAGTGTCTAGGGGTACGCACAGGCTCAGGATTGGTGTGCCTCCAGGCTTGGAGGGTTTGCCCTGTGTTGATTGGTCAACTGGTTGTTATGGCCCATAGGCCCTCCCAGGGTGGTTGCTATGCTCTGCGTGTCATTGCTGTGCACTTGTCCGTAAAGCATACCCAGAGCCGTAAAGCATAGCCCCACCAGCTAACTTCTGGTTAGTTCCTTGCCACGAGGCAGGCATCTGACCTAGTGACTAAGGCAAGGCCAGACAAGCACGTGTTCGGCTGTTATGGCTGCGGAAATGGGGAGCTGGTCCCTTCATTCCCCCATTTTCTTTTTTGGAAATTCCACTCATGGAATTGCTGTCTCTCCCATGCCACCATCAGGGAGTGAGAGGTATTGGCATCCCCTATGTTAAGGGAGTTCCTTCTGACTTAGCATTTCAACCAGGGAAAATAGGTGACGTATTCTTTCCTAGGCTACTTCCTGCTGACTTTGGTATGAAGTTAGGGACCCAAGAAGGCTAAAATGCTAGTCAAAAGCAAAAAAAGGGATTTAGGCAATGAGGAATCCATCAAGAGCTTCTGGTTGGCAGACTCTGTTGCAGAGACAGGGGGTGTCCACATCAGCTGGACTGGTTCACATCCACAGCATGCCCAGGGTTCGCAATCTACTTAGGAACAGCCTGTAGTCAGCAACTGATACTCAGATGTGTCTGCCAGAAGCAGAAACCTGTTTAAGACATGTTTAAACTAGGAACAGAAGTTAAAACTTATTTATTGAAGCCCACAGTGCAGACAAAGCAGATATCTGGATATCTGTTCAAACAGCAGGAACATATTTATAATTTTGGGTCCTAGCAAAAACTACAGATTTGGGCTAGAAGCATGCACATTTTTCTTCTGTCCAGAGAGCCAGGTATGGATTGGACAGAGGTGCCTTTGGCCTGATGAAAAGCCCTTTAAGTTTATACTTAGATGACAACCAAAATAAACCTAAAAACCTTGAGCTTGTGCCTGAACAGTAGATAGTCATTACTTTATCAGCTAACATGCTGACTATAGTCTATAGTGGATCTGACTGTCTGATGCTGTCAAGCTGACAACCATTAATATTTCAGAGATCTGAGAAGGGTGTATTTTAACCAAATCTATTAAAAAGTG